CGATTACTTGTTTCAAGATGGCGTCGGTGATGTTTTATGGGCTAAATATGAGAATGTTAAAGCTCACTTAAGTGTATTTATAATTTTTCTATTATTTTCCACAAAAAGCGACACAAAACAAATCAATAAATTAACATAATTTATAATTTTAGCATAATTCGGATAATAGTAATGATGACGTATCTAATTATAATTTATTATGCGACGATGGAAGAGTTGAGCCATTTACGACGAATTCACCTTGTTTTTGGTTGGCAAAACCGTGGAAGGTAATCGGCGCGAATTCGAAATCCGTTAACGGCGTACAAAAAATAATGAAAAGTTTACAAAATGTCATACTCGACGAATGGAAAGAAAATTTATTACACGTTATTGAACTTTATTTGGTAAAATAATTTATGCACTTAAATACTAATTATATGTATGTATATATATATATATATTTTTAAATAATTTTTTTTTTTTTTTTTTTGAACAGCAATACGTTGAGAATTTAGTTGTGCCGAAAACTCCTGAAGATTATTTGAAAACTGTACCCGGTTATTTGAGTGCGAGTGCCATTAGCGAAAGAAATTGCAAACATTCCATTAAATTATGCGTTTCATCGAATTTAGAATTAATTAAATGCGAATGGATGTCGAAAGCGAGTTCCGCATTAGGAATACAACCTTTGATACAATGCGTAGAAAATAAAAATATGTCCGAGTGTCAAAATTCCGTTTCTCAAATGAAAACAGATGTAATGATCGTGTCACCAGATAATTTTTACGAAACCAAAACGTAAGTGCCTCCGTTATTTCCTAAATCCTAACTTATTATATTTGTTTATATATTCTTTTAATTATTTATTTATTTATTTATTTTTTTTTAGGAAGTTTAATTTGAAAACTTTGATTATGGAAATGGGTAAACACTTTAATGAATCACATTTAATTTCAGCCGTTGTCGATAAAAATTCTTCGATAAAAAAATTTTCGGATTTAAAAAAGAAAAAAGCTTGCTTTTTGAAAAAAAATGGAGTCGGATGGATTGGCGCATTGACTGTACTTCGAAAAAAAAAATTTATTAAATCCGAATGTGACGATGAAAGAGGATTATTAAAATTTTTCGGTGATGTTTGCGTTCAAGTGAAAAAAAATGAAAATGATACGGATTTTAAAAGGTGTGGTGGTTCTAATGACGAGAACACCGAGTTACACATTGTGGATCATTTAAAAAAAAAAGAATGCGATGTTGCATTTTTTGATTTGAAAACAATTGATGACGTCAAAGGTTTTTATTTTGTTTTATAATTTAAATTAATTTATGTTAAGTAGATATTAATTTTTACAAATTTTCTTTTTTGATTAAAGATTTAAAAACGATTTGTTGGAACGACAAAGATAATTCTGAATGTGATTGGATGTGGAGCTCTTCAAATTATTTAATGGTTAGTTCTAAAATACCCGATTACAAATCACAAGAAATATATAGCGTTTTTTATAAAATCGGTGAAAAATTTGGTAGAAATTCAATAAAAAATAATCAAATGTTTAAAATTTTTGGTACTTTTAACGGAGTCAGTAACGTAATGTTTCAGGTACTTGTATTTTTTGTTTTTTTCTAATGACAAATATCAATTTATGATTATTAATATTAATTTTTTTTTTTAATAAAATTAATTAGGATTATTCTTCTTCTCTTGGTGCAACAGAAAATTGGAACAAATCTAATAGTTTCAATAATGCAATAAATACATTAGAATTATGTTCTGGGACAACGAAAATGTTTTCATCATCTTCTTTAAAAATTTTTATTATTTTTTCAATTATTTTTATTATTTAAAAAAAATGTTTTTTTTTTTGTTAATATTAAGACTGATTTTAGTAGTAAGAAAATAAAAAGTTAAATTTTTTATTTAATAATGCATTTATATTTCTAATACACCAATTAAATATTTATATGTAAAAGTTAAAAAAAAAATAAAAAAAATTAGATGCTGTTTAGTATGAAATTAGAGCAATACTCAATTTATTTAAATGATTTAAATACTCTTCTTATTGATTGATTGATTGATTATTTATTCAAATGTAGAAATAATGTTTGTTAATTGTTATGTTGAATATTAAAAAAAAATAAATAATAACTATTTTTGTAGAGTTTAAAAAAAAAAATTTAATTTTTTTGAACAATTAATTTCCTTAATATGTGTGTCTTTATAAATAAGCTTATTAAATTAAAACTTTATAAACAAATTCCTTTTAAACAAATATTATTTCTTAATAACTAAAAGTATTAAATTTCTATTGAAAAATCTTATAATTTTATGTTTAAATTGATGAATTAAAATTAAAACTAAAAATGCGCAATTTTTTTATTCACAGCCTTCGTGTAATTTAAATCCTGACTAATTTATCGTGTAACGGTCGTCTACTGCTGTAAATCGTATGTTACGACGTGGATTATAAATACTTAGAAACATGTCAGCTGGAGAAAAACAGTTCGTATCTTTTTTTTTCTTTTTTTTTTTTTTCGTTAATGATTATTTTAACTAAAATGTATTAAAAATTATAAATATAATTATTATTTACTGTAATATTTAATATTTTTTTTTTAGGTATGGGCTTATAGAGCCGAAAACTGGGAAAAAGTTAACTGTTCATGATATTTTTAATAACGACAGCGATGGAGAAAACGAAGGAAATTGGTCTAATAAAATCGGACTGGTAAAAAATTTATATACTATACTAAATAGCTTTATAATTAAATTTTTTTTCAAACATTATTTTATGCATTTAGCCAAAAGATGAAAGAACTTTAAAAAAACAAACAAAGTTGGAAATGCAAAGAGCTCTTCAACAAGATCCAACTGTTTATCAATATGATGAAATTTATGATGAAATGAATCAAAAAAAACAAGAAAATGAAATTATCAAAGAAAGCCCAGAAAAAAAACCCAAATATATTCAAACATTACTTAAAACAGCTGAAAAAAGGAAAAAGGAGAATGAACGTAGATTAGAAAGGCAAATACAAAAGGAAAGAGAAGCCGAAGGAGACATGTTTAAAGATAAAGAAGAGTTTATTACTTCT